TTCTCTCAGTGTCACACCTCAGAGGCAGGTGCTTCCAGCCTTTGCAATCGGTACAGCAGGGTCCCAACAGACAAGCACCTTTTGTCTTAGCTTGGACCCAGTCTCAGAGTGAAGTTTTAACATAGGCTGAACAAGGCAGAGGTGTTTGGGCAGAGCAGCAAGACATAGCAAAAAAAACAAAAACCAAGAAACCCCCAAAAAATTAGAAGTGGTTTTTTTGAAGAAACTACATAAAGAATACCAGCCATTTTTTTCCAGTTTTTGGGCTTGACCTTTCTGTCTTCTTCATGTTCTTGTAATTCTTCTTTTGCATGGGTAATATACACCAGAGATTGATTATAACATCCAAGCAAAAAGACACCTGCCCAGCAAAACAATCAGTCTTTGGAAATGAGGATCTTGTTATTTTGAGGCTTTCGTCCAGCTTTGTCACCTATTGGAGCACTTTCCCTGCACAGCAGTGGAAGCTTCTCTACGCTTGTACTTCTGAGCCCTCTTCCCAACTCTGCTCATGTATTTTACACCATTTGCATGGAAATATTCGTGTGCACAGGGAAACTCCATGGATTCATTGAAGGGAGCAGTCTTCTCTTTAGAACACAAACAACCCTTGGAATCATTTTCCCGTACCTCTCAAGGGCATGACCTGGCACCAGCATGAAAAGACATAGAGGCAGAAGTGATCAGCCTTATCTGATTGTGTTGAGTCAGTTTTACCAAATTATGCTATGAAAACAAAATGTTCCTGCCCTCCATACCTCAGAGATGAGGCAACTTCTTTGTTATTTGATGTGATTTTGAAGCAGTTAGCCTGTGTAAAGTTGGCTTTGTTGCATGTCGTCCAAAGAAGATTCTCTTTGCCTTTGCTTTGCTTGGTTATTTGGCAGCAGGAAAATCTGTCTGCAGACTGGATTTTCCATGCTCCATTAAGTTTATAGGTGCCTTATAGGTTATCTCTTAGTTGTTGTATTACCTTTTTATCCATTGAAACCAGCAATATGGGAGTCTCTCTGGATGTGGGGTTTGCTGGAGTAGCTCTGTGTCTGGTCTCTTTTTTAAAAAAAGCAGGTGAAGAGATGTTGGACAAAAGTTCTGTCATTGGGAAATGCATAGTGTGCATTGCTGCTTACGGGTGTTCCAACCTTACGTACTTCAGTAATGGGTAAGACAGATAAAGAAATAAATCCTTGCACAGGTGTTCTGTCCTGTGGAGAAATTATGTGAAAATGTGTTTTCTTTTCAGTGAAGCAGGCTTATGAATATACTGTCTGTTGCAGAGCATACTGGTTTTTTTTCTGTTGGAAAGCTGTTGGAAAATACAACATTTTTCAACGCTATTTTGAGCAGTGGAGGTTTCTCATAGGAAGAGGAGAGGCAGTGCATTCTGGATGTCCATTCCTCTTTTAATTACTTAAAAGGCCAACCTCAAGAATTCAAGGAACACAGAAATATCCCTGACTGATACCAAAGTTACTGGTTGCTTTGGCCAGAGATTGGATTCTTCCCTGCCAATTGCAAATAACCCTGAAAGCTAATGCCTTCCATAAGGAAGCTGGCACGCTGTGGCTGTTTTCAACACTGCATATGTACCTCTGCTTTCTTACGCCCCTGTGGTAATTCAGAGGGTCATATTCCTGCTCATGCAAAGCATAACTTCCACAAGTTGAGGCCCGCTAAGCAAGGACTTCCAGCTGTTTCATTCCTATAAGCATATAAATATTTATACCACCCCAGGGTTCCTTTCATGCTGAAAATAAAGGTAGCACTTGTCTTCTGTTAAAATATATTACCCAGGAGATAAATGGCTTACCTCAGTGTTAGGAAGATGGATGAGAGGAGTGGAAAATTGGCCATAATATTGGTTGGAAGATCCACAGAGTCCAGAGGGCCTTGCTGTTTACTTGAAACTCCTGCTGGGAACTGACATAGAGGTTGATAGTGCTGTGTTTAGCTATCAACAGATGATTAATTAAAAGCTGTAATAAATGTGAAATATAAAGGTTGACAGATGCAGAGCTAGCTAAATTTTCTAGTGATGGGTAATGTGCACCAGGGATTGATTACAACATCCAAGCAGGATGTGAATGGTGCTTTTGAAGGGACAGCTGAGACAGGGAGAGTCTGCACAAGGCCACATGCAAAGTGAGACAGCGATTCAACTCTGTGGCGTCTCTGGTGCTCTGCCCCTTCCTGTACTACCTCTGTGAAAGCACAAGTCCAAATGTATTCTGATCCAGGCTACTGAGAGTCATTTCCTACCCTCTGCACTGGAGTGAAATAAATGTCAGATAGGCAGTGTGGGGGGCTCAAAGCTGAGGTGCTGGTGTAGCATCACCTGAGTGAACTGTGATTCTGCTGTTGATCTGGAGCATGACCAGTGGTAGCCTCTCTGCCTCAATTCATCTGCCCAGCCATAAAATGAGAGAGGTGGTAACGCTGAGCCGCTGTGACCCCGCGTGGCCAGCACAGGTTGCAGGTGTAAAGGTCTGAAAAAGTGCTGTGAGGCTTCATTATTAATTGAAAATGTGATGAGAATGTCTCGAGTCAGTGTGCTGACTTCTAGGGACTTAGCTAGGATGCTGCCTTGCTCTTCAGTACACACTGCTTATCACTTGGGGGCCCCTTGCATCCTCCTTCTCATCTGCCACTGTATTTAGATGGAGCATGCTGAGAGCAGCCTGGTTGTCTTACAGCAAGAATTAATTATTTCACAGACCATTCCAGATTCTGATAAATGAAGCGTGCCTTGATGTCATTTTAGAGTAATATCTGTAGTGAAATCAGAACTTGTGAAAATACATAGGACATGTCTTTGTGTTTTGCTTTGTTCAGGTTAGTTGTTGTGGTTTATGATATGACTAAAGGGCCTGACTGAACATAAAAATAACTCCTGCAGAAGTGGGAGTTTAATGAAATAATAATTATTCCCTTAAATTATTTTCAATATAAGATAGCAAAATTAAGAAATTCTCTATCCCTCTCCTTTTTTTGGCAAGTATTTATTATAGGTAATGAAAATCCAAATTGAACCCGACTAGCCTTAGTTTTGCACAATTTTTGTCTTTCCTGATAAAATAGGTTGATTTTTCTCTTCTTTGAAATTGCTAAAACAGGCAAGGACAAGAGGAAGAGCCTTATGAAAATCTCACCATTGGGGCACTTTATGCTGTTAATTCACAAAGAAGTACCCAAAAGGTTTTTTGAAAATGTTTCTGCTTAGTGAAATGCTGAAGGGGAAACACCGTCATCCAGAACAACCATTGTTAATGTCCTTTCAGTGTGAGAGAGCTTTCACCCTCCCAGTGCTCCCTGTTGACTTGCTGCCAGCTGCTCATGTATGTAATGTATATGGGTGTGCTTAAAATCCATTCCCATCTATGTGGAAATAGATGGTTTGTGCGAATACAGCACCATACATCACATATATGCTCCATATGTGCTGCAGTTTGGAATGTCAGTGAGCACAGGGCTATTTTAGAGGATGCCAGAGAAAGGAAAGAGAAATGGAGCAATTTATTTGTTTGGATAAATCTCCCTGTTACTGAATTGCTTTAATGCTGCGCCTGTTTCTTGTTCTTCCTCTCCTTCTCTTTTGCTGCTTCTTTCATTGCAGTTTTTCAAATATGTAGGCAACAAAAAACCATGGCCAGTGGAATGGAAGGTTACAATTATGTATCCGTATTCCTGTAATGCGGCTGCTCAGTAATGTCTCCTGGGAGTGTTACAATGAATATCTGACATTAATTGGCTCAGTACCTGTACGTCTGACCTTGCAGAAATTTAGTAGATCAATTCTACATTGTTGTTTACTGATAAAGAAAACTTTTTCAGGGCAGAGACTGCGTCTTCACACGTCTGCCACAGTCACAACCAGAAGTAGCAGTCAGATTTACCGGGTCTTAGAATAAGAAATGAAAGAATAGAAAAAGGAGTCATAAAGCAATTTCTCTCCCTTGTTTTGCCAAGATAGATCTGTTCCTCATCAATTTTTAGCCCACTTGAAGTCTTTCTCACTGCTGGACCTACTCTTGATGTACAAATGCTGTTTTCTGTCCTTTGAGTAGTACACCTATTGCTTTCATAGGTGTGTTTGACATACTGAACGATATAACTAAACCAGGTCAGAATTAGAGGAACAGCACCTGGATTTACTCGCACTGCAACAGCTGCCTCTTTTGTTTCGCTCACCCTCCGGTGACTAAATCTGCCAGGAGGATCTAGCAGAGCGCTGGGAGCCGCTATTTGGCAGCCGCCGTGTTTCAATGCGCCCTGCTCAGTCAGCAACAACCTCTCATCTCCCGCACTGCTCAGTCAGCTGGCTTTGCCTGCACTGGGGATGCGGGCTGCGTGTGCACGAATGGATGATGGTTCAGCTCCATTCTGTTTGAGGGAGCACGGAGGGAGAAAGTTAGTGCCCAAACTGCAGCTTAGCCAAGATTCACACCCGGGACAGTCACTGGGCTGACCTTTCTGTGAGGGTGTTGGTTTCCCGAGTTAAAAAGTTGTTGAAAAGAAGGGAGATCTGTACACGGAGTATTTTAGGAGATGCTCAGAGGAACACATTGCATGCCTGTTCCGCTGGTTTTATTGCCTTTATTGAAGTACAGAAGGTGTATTCTGCCTCTGTACTACTGGCGTGCTCGGGAGCACTTGCCACTTTCAGACTATTGTTACCTGTCCTCTGCTTTATTTGATCGGAAGGGAATTAAAAAAGCCACCACGCTGGGGACACAGAAACCCGCATAGTCAAAGCCCCTCTTCCACCCCCACTGGCTTCTGTGAATTAAAATCCAACACAGGGAGCCCAGTGCTGCTCACAAAGGGGAGCCCGTTCCTCCTCTCTGCCCCGCGGTGTAAAGAGCCCCCTCCCCAGTGTAGGCCTCCGGCAGCGGTTCCCCCCGGTTGGAGCCCGCGGCGGGACAGCAGCCGCAGCCCCAGCCCCGACCCCGGCGGGCACTGACCGCGCTCTCTCTGTCGCTTTCCCCCCCTGCGCACGGAAGGCGGACGATGGAGGCGGCGGCGAGCGGGCGCGGGAGGCGGCCGGCGCGGCGCTGGTGCTGCGGAAGGTGTGGTCACGCAGCCCGGCCCCCGAGCGGCGCGGGAGGTAAGGCTTCCGCGGCTCCGGGCGTGCGGGGCTGGGCCGGCCGGGCCGGGCTCGGCGGCGGCGGCGGCGGGCGGGGCGGTGGCCCGCGGCCCCCGGCAGGGCGATGGCCCCCGGGGGGCGCGCCTAGGGCACGGGGCGGCGGGCGCGGCGGGAGCGGGGCGCCATGGGCAGCGGCAGGGTGCGGGTGCCTGAGGCGCTGGGGGGTCGCGGCGGGGAGCGGCCGCTGCCCACCTTCGACGTGCCTTACTTCAAGTACATCGACGAGGAGGACGAGGAGGATGAGTGGAGCAGCCGCTCGCAGTCCTCTACCGAGGATGACTCCGGGGACTCTCTGCTTTCTGACAGATACGTGGTGGTGTCGGGGACGCCGGAGAAGATTTTGGAGCATCTCCTCAGCGACCTGCACTTGGAAGCCGCCCAGGACAAAGAGACGGGTAAGGAGCGAGCCTGGCGGGGAGGCGGAGGAGGCCGGGGACACACGCGGGAATGGGGGAGAGGTGCCGGTGCCGGCAGAGCGAGGCGGGCCGAGGGTCGCTGCCGGGCACCGCCGGCCGCAAGCCGCTGCCAGCCTGATGTGCAGCCCGGGGCGATGCGAGGAACCCGTGAGCGCGGCGCGGCAGCCGGGAGGTGGCGGAGCGAGGCGCCGGCCCCGGGGCAGGAGCACCGTCGTTGCCGGAGCCGCTCGGCTGATGCGAGCACAGCAGCAACTCGGGCCGGTCTACGTTTGGCTTTGGCTGCCGCCTGGGTAGCGCAAGCTGTGGCGGGCTTTGTACAGCACCCATGTCTCTGCAGGCAGGGCTGCCATCCCTCGTAGCCTGCAGCTATTGATCAGGATACTTGCAGTGCACCTCACCTACTGACAAGCTACTCGTATTGACACCACCCCAGTACTTTGACACAACTGCTTCATAGAAACGGCTTATAGCCCAGGGCACAGCATATCGCCCGATGCTCTACTTGCATGTCTTCAATCAGAGAGTGTAGTTTATTCCAGCCTCGAGCAATTATTCTATAGGTCTACTTGACATGCAGTTTAATTTTCAGCTGGATTTCTTGGCAGTATGTGCAGCCTGCTGTCACCAGGAGCTCATGGAGTTTATCAGAAGTGCCTCTAACCTGCAATTCATAGATAGTTTTAATGAAAGCACCCAGGCTGGTGAGACTTTTGGAGGTCCCAAATACCGAAGAGGAGGGCAGATGGCTGTCTGTGGAGCTGTGCATTTGGTCGTCCCCAATAGGGTTAAAATGCATACTCCTGCTGCCTGTATATATCTTTCTCTACAAATGAGATTACTGAGAATAAACACACTTTAATCCTTTTAAGTGTCTGAAATTATAAATAACATCTGCGATTCCCAGAGGAATGTCTCAGAACAAGTCATTAGTTTAATGTGGGACAATAGGCATATTCCTAGTGCTGATGTGTCAATGCCCTGAAGAAACATATAGAGTGTCTGCCGGTGATATTATTACGGTGTTCCTACTGCCGCTTTTGTCTGCCTGGACATTAATATTTAGTGCTGAGAGAGGCTGTGGTTGTTTTCCTTTCACAGATGCACTCAAACTAGTTCGGAGTATAATTTACTTGAACCAGCTCATAGGTAGTGTAGTGAGGATCCTTCATTGGCCTTTTAAGGTCAAATATTGAATCCAGAATAAGTTTACCCATTAATGTTTATCACACACAGACTGGGGGACATCAGCTGCCAGTCTTTATATTCTGTTTCATCTTATTTTATAAGCTCACAATCTTGCTGGAAAACAGTGAGAATTTCACTGCTGATATGCATTATATTTTAGTGTTTGTAAATGCAAAGCGCTCCTGACATAAAGCATTAGATACATCCTCCCGTGTGCTGCCTATTCTTTTTTTCTCTTTGGTCTCTCTCCCTCCCATCACGAAAGGCTGTTCATAAGCCTGGTCTTATTGTTAGTGAGATAGGCTGGTAAACTGTTCTCAAAACAAATGCTAAACCACTGCCTGGTTGTCAGCAGATGGTAAAGTATTTAAAGGTTGATTAGCTTCCACTCACCTCTTCTGCCTTATCCTAACTCCTTTTAGAAAGAAACAATTAGGCTCTGCCCTGTAGCCAGGGACAGAAAAAAGTAGCTGTGCCTTCATTTTTTTGCCATCACAGAGATGTGTGCTAAACCTTGCCCGGCAGCTCTTCACCCCCTCGAGGGTAGCTTCTCATGCCATTTTCTTCTGATTTTATTAATCTGGTAATATAGAACTTCATCAGAATAAAAGACTTTGGGAGTTATGTTTCCCAGTGGTTTATGAGGAGGAGGCTCCTGTAATGGTTTTTATCAGTTTGTTTTGCAGACTCAGTGACATTTGGCATGAGGAAGTATGGGATGTTGACTGTACATATGTACATCCTTGTGTGTGCACCTGACGGCATCCTTCTGCCATCCTTGTGTGCTTGGATTTACTGGTTTTTGTATTTTTTTCTAGTTCCAATCTGGCCCATCTTATATCAAGTTGCAGAGTTCCACAGGCTTGTATTTTAGCAGACCTAGCTTTGTGGAACAGAAAAGGATGATGTTGTACTCAGCTGCTGCTCCTGCTGTCTCTTTGCCAGTTCCAGGGTGAATTCCGTGGCCTCTCACTTTCCCTGCAGCCCCCAATGCAGTTTGTTTATTTGTGTCTGTAAAGAACATGAGAAAGGGCTGTTCTTACATATGCTGACGCACAAGGGGCTGTTGTTCCGTTCGACCCATTGCACTGTTTCCCAGGGAGGGATGCTCTGCATGTTTTCATTCCCACCTTTTTATACCAAATCATAACTGCAGCCCTCTATGGTTGTTAACAAAAAACTCCGCTGTCCTGGGGCTAGCATGGTCATGGAGCTTCTTATAAACACTGACATGACCGAATGATACACCATGCATTGCTTCCAGCTATCCTCCCTTTTCTAGCCCAAGTCAGCAGGTACCGCTTGCACTTGGAAGAGTAAAGGAAGCTTTGGGGCTGATCTGGAATAAATTTAACTAGGGACCAGCCCAGGCCTTAAGACTTCCTACAACTGCTGCTAAACCTGTAGCAAGGTACCTTAAGCACTCAGCTTAATAAACTCTGCTATAATAAACAGGTAGGGACCCAACCTGAAGATTTGTGCCATTGCCTGTGACATGATAAAGCACTGTTATAGCAGCTGAGGACACTTGAAGAAGATGCTGCAATCTGCACAGCTAGACTAGTCTGTTGCTCAGGTGACTTCTGTAGGCAGGATGTCTTGAAAGCCTGAGGTTTGCAAGACTCTTTAGGCTTAACTCAATAGCTGTTTAATGACTGAGGGCTTTTTGTGATGACTGTGTCAGGGAGTATGTGCAAGATCTTGAGACATCACCTTAAATTTGGGCTTGCCACTAACAAAGGCTTGCTAGCTTCCATCTCAAAGGAAGTTTTTGTCTCACTGAGTTATATATAATCGGTAATGTACCAATTCCCAAGAACACTGTTCTTGTTCCCTACCATGAGATGGATGGAAATTTTAAATTTCTGTAATGAACTACTTTTCTGAGTCATCTCTCAGGTTGTTGAAATCAGTGGGGAATGTCTACTGAGTGTGTATTTTAGAGTGCAGTTTGAAGTTTTGAGAACTGAACAGAGTGAGACACTTCAAATATGTCAATATCGAGGCAGAAAATGCAAGGCATACCTCCTGGGCTAATCCTCATCAAGGATGGGGATTTGAACAAGTAATCTCCAAGAGGCCAAATCTTAGTGTCTTAAGATCTCTAATCCCTTCCCATGACTACAACATTTCTTTCAAATTTTCTGCAAAATCTTTTATTTCTTGGGCGTTAGCAGCATTTCTTCTCTGGATATTTTCTGATGTAATCTTCGGAGTATCTTCTGACTGGTCTCTATTCAAACATACTATGTTGGCATGTGGTGGTTGCATTCAACATTTGGCAGCCTCTGGAATGACATAGTGATGATCACATTCACTGCTACTTCTCCAGGCCTGTCTGGATCCCTCAGATAGTTTCCTTCCATCCACTGGGCCACCTCTCTCAGGCAGCTTAAACAGAACATTGCCGAAGTAGAACATAATCTCCCTCGTTGCATCTGCTGACACCACCTGTCTTTTATCTCCCTGCTGCGGAATTCATTTTAGAGAATGAGTAGAGAGAAGAAGAGATTGATTTGTGAAGGTCTTTGAGAGCAAGAAGCAGTGGGAAATGGAGATCTAGAGAAAGGAAATGAGGAATGGTATGGCTGGAGCAACGTGACAGTGTCAGTCTTAACTGATGTATCTTTGTAGTGGACTGGGTGAAAGGGATTGTGGCAAGGAGGAGGCATGATACTTTTGTTAGGCTGTTGCAGACATCAGGATGGCAAATGATGGAAGGCCTGAAGAAGGATTAAGGGCACAGAAAAAGAACAAATTCTCATGATGTAGCTAGAAGAGGTACAGAAGTATGGTCTGGATATCTTCAGAATAGGAAAAGGAAGGAGTAATGACCTTTGTGCCATGCTGTGTCACCTTATCTGGGACTGTGCATGATCCCTGGATTACTGGGAACTCTCCTCTGTCCCACAGAAGCAGTATGACAGCTTATGATCCTAGGTTTAGGATCATAACATAGTACCTAGGAGGGGCCTTCAGACTGTGTCCATTTGTCCTAGAAATGCTAGGGTTACTAGTGTAAGGGTTACTTTTGTTTAGTACATTCTGTTTCTACACTTGCATCAATGACACTGCTTTGATGTTGGACCATGACACCTCTGTGGAACTGTACGTAACCTTGTATGAGAATGGTACTGTCTTGCATGAACTGATTGTAGTCAGCTGCTAAATGATGTTGCAAAAAAAATGGATATAGGTCTGCCTTTTCCAGGTGGCTGTATTTTATTTAATGATCCAAGAAAAAAAATCTGGTTGGTTTTTTATATCTTTTGTTTCTTAGCTATGATGGTTGCTGTTAGGTCTTTTGCTCACTACGCTATTTACTGATGATTAAAAGGTATTAAAAAATGTACTCCTGTGACTGACTGCCACATAGTCAACATAGGTGTATCTGATGCATGTGGACTGATGTCAACAGGAATAAATATTTTCTCAACACTTTGTGATCCTACCTTCCAGCTTTTAGGATAGATAGAACAAATGCCTGCTAACCCTTCCTTTTACCAGTCCTTTATAATGAAATGTTGTCGGTCATAATTTTGAGGGATTTTATAAACTTTCCCACAAAGTTTTAGGAAAATTTGGTGAACTGAGTGGGCTAAATGCATATTACTGCCGTGTCCATAGGGGTGGATCAAAAGTTTACTGGAGTACATGAGTGTAAGCATTGCAGAAAAGCTAAAATAATATATCTCAATGATCAATGTGAGAGAACCTGAGGAGGTTCTTTCAGAGGACCATTGCTTTGTGCAGTATGAGTCTAAGCTATCTCAAATTGGAGTGTCAGTAGAAGT